TTTATCTTTTAGAATGAGTTGGCTGCTCTCTACATACTGTGCTTCTACAAGCCTTCCTCTATTAGTAATTTACTAATTATAAGACACTTTTTACTCTTACTCATTAGTAGTAATCACGCTACTCTGTTATTTTAAGCTCATACAAAAATATTAATTGTTATGTTAAGAATGCGAGTAACTGAACTATAATAGTGACTGACTGGGCGGTAGTTTAATTATTATCATCATCATCAGCCCTTTACAGTCCACTGCTGGACTATGAGCCTCCTCCACTATAGTAGAGGGTTTTGCCATAATCCCCACGCTTGGCAGGCGGGTTGGAGATCGCAGTTCAAAAGATTGATGTTTTTCAGAGAGCGCTGCTGCCCGTTCTCTGTTTGATGTGTAGTCCCTAAGTCGCCTCTTACGACACCCGCGGGAAGAGTAGGGGTTGGTGACAAATGTATTCTACTCTGCCGTCACCACACGGCTATTAATTATTATGCCTTAACATAACTACAATTTTCAAAGAGAAAAAACATTATATTATGTTTTCTGTATTCATAAAGTTTTGTATCGAATTTTAAGATGAATGAAGGAATGGCATTATTCAATCACTAATCTCAAAAAGTTTTCGTACCCAAGTAGGTAGGTTAGTAAAAACAAAAAAAATGCGTGATCAATCATTCAAAGTAAAATTTTGGTCAGGAAGTAAGTAATCAAGTAACTCATTGACAGTTTGACACAGATTTAAATTTGGGCACCCGCTTGCTTTCGATGTTACGTATCGATGAAAGAAAACGTAATTACTTTTTGTTTACAAGTGTTAAACCCTCATTAGTCAGCATGACTCATTAGGTGTGCCATTACAACTGTTACAACTCACACACAAGTTTAGTAAGTAAGTATTGGCAGAGAATAAATACTAGTACCTACTACTACTACGCAGTATTGACTTGGTCAGGCATTTTTATTTATCAAAACAGATCGGAAGCACGATGCGTGCAGCGCAGGACCGGTCGTTGTCTTTGCCTTGAGCCTTGAGGTAGGCCTCTGTCCAGCAGTAGACGTTTTTTGGTTGAATTAATTATTTATTTATTCCAACGCAGTTGTCACAGTTTACCGTGTGCAGTCCTGTAAACGGAAGACTATGTCCAAGTCTGCCCCAAAACGTCTTAGATAAAGATTATTTTTTGGACTGACTGCACATAGCTTTGAGCGGGTTCCTCAGCTTCACCGGGCAATTGGTGAGCGAAGATGGCTCTCAATTTTTAAGCATCGAGCCTAAGGGCGCCCTCTAGTAGGGCTCGCCTAGGGCGTTGCTAACCTAACATAGGTACTTACTTAAGTATTTGAAAGAGCCCTAATGATCTGAGTTTAAAAAAAAAACTCAATTCTTTTGGTTTCTTTAATTTATTCTCAATGGACCTTGTTATTTTTCTGTATTTTATTTCACAATGATGCGACACGGCGCACGAGGTCGCCAGGCAGACAACAGTAGTCGTTATTCTTCCTTTATCCGTAAATAGCGATGCAATGTGCACAAAGATGCACCTGCTTCGCAAAACGAATATTCTTGAAATGTCTTTTGTCTAGAACTAGAATACAGTTACCTATTGGGTTAGCTGCTAACCGTTAGCATAAGGCAAATACTCTTTAAGAATTCTTGGATTTGCCAAAAGACTTGCAAGGTCAACTTTGTATGACTATTTTGCTGCCACTGCCCACTACATGGGAAGTGTAAGCCCAATCCTCCATTTGTCAGGTAAATATTATGATGTGCCGTGGTGCTGCAAGGGTCACTAAATGACCTGAAGATGATAATGAAAGACTAATGTTGTTATCTGTTTACATAAGGTCAATCATTACTCCCAAATATTTCTTTAGAGTATTGAGTGATGATCCATTAAGGCTGGGTTGCACCATCTTACTTTAACTATTACAAACGTCAAAAGTCTGTCAAACTCCATACAATAACACCGATTATGGTTATAGTTACGGTTAGTAAGGTGGTCCAAGTGGTGCAACTCAGCCTTAGTACCTTACCTATACCTACCTAACTATACCTACCTAACCTAGTTCTAAGTAGGTAGCTATAATGTTCTGTGCGATTGGTTTATCAATGGCAACAACTTTTTTTCCTCAACGTGATCGACTGACTCTGAACCATAAGTCTGGAGGGAGGCACGTGGAAAGAGTGGGTGTAGTAGTGGGCGACTTTTTCCCGCCAATCTATTGTCTATTACAGACAACAGTACATCAGACTATACATTTTTGTTGCAAAATAGCTCCTATTAAAACTACATAAGAACTCAGTGTTTAACTTGATGTGCTGTCGGTCTTCGGTAAAGAAGCGCCACAAAAAATATTTTAATTCATCGCACGAAACCGAGCCGTGTATTTTAAAACAGACTAGGTAGGTTGATTCAGAGATAGGCTATCGGCAAAGGTGACTTGGCATTTTTAACAACAAAGACGCAGTTTTGTTACTGCTTGTTTCTAGTAGGGAGAACCCTAGAACTAAAATCTAAATAGGTACCTATTCCGTACTTGGCCCTCAATCCAGGGCGCTTACACACGTCCCAAATATAGCTTGCCCTACCACTACTTCGGGACAACAAATGGGCTAGTGCTGAGAAGAAGTGGCGAAAGAAACTCGGTCACCTTTGTCAGTCTGTAAACTCTTGCTAACTTGTCTCATCCTGACATTATCGGCTTAAATTTTTATCGAATCAACATTCGCAAACATTTGCCGAAACGGATGTGTTCCGCGTGTATTGAGAAAGCGGAGAAAAAAGTGAAAGCGTGCGAGAGGGACGCAAGATCCAACGATAAGGACAGACTCTGTGACGTCACAGATAAAGTCTGTCAACATTGCCCAAATTGATTTTATAATAACTACAAATCTGATAAAGCTTGAATAAATTGATTCAATGGAAATAAACTAGGCAATGAACAATGTTATGAATTTAGACATAGATAATGTTATCAGTCTCTGATAAAAGACTGTTAAAGTCACTTGTTATCTATGAAAGTATACTATGAAATTACAAGATTGATAAATAAATGTGATTGCGTTTTTGTACTAAAGTTAATGAACCACCTACCCATTTAAAGATTTATTCAAGCCATAAATAAATTTAAATGTAAAATTATACCACTTGAGGGGAGTTACCTTAGTAATGTTTGACACAATATGATGGCTATATTATCTAGCACCAAAGTTGACTCACCACAACACAATACAACACAAGGGAGAAAGCAACACAGATTAGCGACACAAGTCATAACAATAGCAATCTTTATTTTAAGACTAATCTGATAAAGTCGTCTAGGAATTATGATTATCCTGATTTGAGGCTACATAAAGAAAAGAAGAAAATTTAAATTCATATGTTATATTACTTTTAACATGTAATAATAAGTAGAAGAGTTCATTTGTGTTTTGTAAAATTCATCATTATTGCTACCAAAATAATGTAAACAAGGAAAAGGGTAAAAATAATAACTCGAGGAAATACTTCCCATGAGTATGCTTGGAGAACATACAAAAAACCCAATAAACATAAGTATAAAGTCTATAATACTCTTAATTTTGTACATAGGAAAATAACTTTAAAACAATATTATATTGAAAAAATGTGCATTTAAATGAGAGTGGGATGAAGATTACTTAGAAGGAAGAAATTATGTAAAAGCAAGATTTAAAAGCTACCTAGAAGTGCTAGTTTATTTTTACTTTTAGTTAATTGCATATCATCGGCTAAGGTGTAAACCTGAAATCTATGCTTAATACCGTGGTGTTGGCATTCAAGCACTTATTTCAAGAATTTGATAGAATATTCTGGGTACCTACTTCATGGGACGTTCAAAAATAGATAATTTTCTCAGTTTTCATTTGGGTATATCCAATCCAGGCTATGTTACTTGAAAATAAAATACTGGCTCTCATAAATGTGTCCTTGTTTTTATCCTCTCAAATGTGTCCTTTGTTTTTATCACTTGTAACATCAAAGCTATAAACAACAGTGACATTTAACATTAATCCTTTTTTTATTGCAGTAGGTAAAAAACAACTTTCGAATTTGAGTGGAAAACATTTATTCAAATGTAACCGAGTTTACCTATTTATCTTCATAATGACATTTAAATATGCTGCCATGCAGTCGCTGCATGGTCGCAGTCCTCATACGGGCACTGCATTATTGGTGAGATAATGTATGTCATGTTTACGTTGAACTCTTAATAGCTAGCTGAATTTTTGTATGAACAGATTGCCTATCAACTCACATACAGATAAACGGTGCACACATTATCACAATAAATATGTGTAATAATATGTTATATTATGTAAGAATTATGTTGTTGTTTTATGTTGTAATCAAAATATAAGTTTTAAAATTCTGCTGAGACTATTTGGAACTGAGTGAGACCACATAATGGACCATATTATGTCGCAGTACTGACCATTAGTCAGCAGAAAACATACTTAAAACTACCCAAAACAATTCATCACCAAACTAGGCAAAAAAAGATTTACAATAAAAACAAAAACTAAGAGACCTCAAACTCATGGTTGTTTTCGTTAAAACGTTTCGTTTATGCAAATATACAATGTACCAAAGTACATTTACATAAAATAATAGTACCGATACCGTACATACCGTCCATCAACAAACAAAATGTAGTAAATGACGTAAGGTGCTAACACAGACGAATATTTTACTGCGATTTAGACCATTCGTACTGCCGAATAGGAAATGAAATACGTATTACGTCCTACAGCAATCGGAACAATGGTAGGTAGTAGGAAAATCAAGTAGAAACACTTATTGAATCACCCCATACTCATCAACAAAGGACAAGTATTTAAAACGCTCAAAAAGTATTTAAACATCGATTTTCAGTCTCTCAAACACATATTAGAACCTTAGAACAATGCTAGAGAACGTAATTGGCTAGAGAAACTAATCTAAACTGTTTGTTATGGATATCAAATAAAGAAAATTGTTTTGACATACCTTTGGTTTATAGAACCACTTTCGCAGCGACTCCATTGGACCAGTTTTGTATAGCAGCCTCATATGAACGACTCACTGCACAACCACACACATTATAAAACTGAGATAGCACCAAAAATCACTACTAAATACGAGTAGAATTTAATTTTTACCACTATTTACGTCAAATAACACAAACGGCAGACATGTTTCCACGACTCGCGTTCACGTTTTATGAACGAATGAATGATGCGCTCTCTCAACTCGAATGAATGAAGTTGTGAATGAATGGCGTTGGCTTTTACGTTCGGATGTTCATCAAAATTGAGTAATAAAATTCCTCTACAATAATCTTTTAACTTAAAACGCTCAAAAATAGAACTGTTTTGCATTACAACAAAACAGTTATTATGTGTAGAATAAAACACAGCGTTCTGTTGAGAGAGAGCTGTCTATGATCTTTGCCTGATTTTAGTCTATGGTATAAGAAAACTTACCAATTGTCTCTGCTTTATCATCTAGTTTACCTTCTTCATACACCAGCTGGCACCACTTTCTATGGAAATTGGTGATCTGTCAACTTGACATTTCATAGTCGTCCAACACCAGCAAGCACTTGCTGGAACGCTGTGTTTTATTCTACACATAATAACTGTTTTGTTGTAATGCAAAACAGTTCTATTATGTGCCTTAATAAAACACAGCGTTCTGTTGAGACCTGTTTGTTATCTGCTGGTGTCAAGCACAAACGCTATGTGATATAAAATGTATTAAGAATGAAAGAATATAAAGAAGTTTAATATCACAATACAAAATAATACATTAAACAACTTATTGTACTCTCTGAGAAGCAGACGAACCAATAAGAAACTTATTAAACAAAAAACCAGTCTTTAGGATAAATAACTCAAATTATTTAGGACATCTCCTTGAGATCAACATTATGTCATTAACTTCTTATCAACCAATAAAATCATTCTGGTACTTATAAGGTAGGTTATTAGTAAGATCTCCCCATCTGTAAATATAAATATGTATAAACATAAACATGTTTTCATCTTGAACAATTAAAACATTACTAAAAACTTGTTATGAATAACATAACATTAAACAATTAACTATTAATAACATGCTTGTAAAATTATAAACTCATAAATACAAGATGTTATTGTTCCTTCGTAGGTCTCTGCAGTAATATTTCATAAAGGTATACATACCCCCACCTCCAATTAAATATTGGGGGTCTTATCAACTACTCTCTTGTCCAGCCAGTATCTGGATGTTACTGCAGACCAAACACTTCATGGAGAAGCAAATATTCACTGCACTTCTTGGAGAAGCACCTAGTTATTCACTAAAAATGATCTTAATCCAATTTGTAATATTTGACCTGGAAAACAGGCGTTATCATATTGTTTATGGAAATAAACAAATTTCACACATAACTCTGGGGTCTCCATTAAAATGAAGTCTTCATCAGCTCACCAATATGAAACTACAGGACATAATTATGCGTTCATCTGGGTGCTTAGCAGTCAGAGACAGTCTGTAGGTGGTTGAATCAGATTCAGATCCAAATATCAGCCAAAATGCTGACGTCATGTCCATAGCGGGGAGGTTCTGGGCCCCCCCCGAAAAACAACCCTAGATACGCCAATGTCACAATGTGATCATATTCTGATACCTAAAAAAAGTAATCCTGTAATGTGTCCAAAGGAATGAGATCATGGATTCTTCGATCTGAAGCAAGAAGAAGAATGAAAGCTGTTTATCAAGTAAAATTCAATGCTAGAAGAAAGTCCAGCAGCCGGCAACCAGTCAAATTAATTCCAGTAATTCNAATAAGAAACTTATTAAACAAATAACCAGTCTTTAGGTTAAATAACTCAAATTATTTAGGACATCTCCTTGAGATCAACCTTATGTCATTAACTTCTTATCAACAGTTATCAACCAATAAAATCATTCTGGTACTTATGGTAGGTTAATAGTAAGATCTCCCCATCTGAAAATATAAATATGTATAAACATAAACATGTTTTCATCTTGAACAATTAAAACATTACTAAAAACTTGTTATGAATAACATAACATTAAACAATTAACTATTAATAACATGCTTGTAAAATTATAAACTCATAAATACAAGATGTTATTGTTCCTTCGTAGGTCTCTGCAGTAATATTTCATTAAGGTATACATACCCCTACCNAAAAAAAAGTATATAAGTAGTATATCCGTTAAGCTAGCACCCATAACACAAGCATTAAGTTGCTTACTTTGGGGCTAGCTGGCGCTGTGTGAAATTGTCCAAAGATTTATTATTTATTATTAAAACTGACCTAAATATCAGTTTTGTACTACAAGTTTTTGCTGTAAAAACAGCTTGGCTAACAGCAGCGCTATCTACAGTAACGGCGTAAAACATCTTTCATCTTCGAATCGGTAACCCAAAAATCCTGGGGGGCACCAGACCAGACCATTCTGGGGTGCCATAGCCCCCGGGGGGGCGGATATATATGGGGGGTACGGACCGCCCCGCGTGCCAAGCCATGCTACGCCGCCACTGGCTACCACATCTCTACCAGTTGGTAACTTGTGGTCAATGCTGTGAGATTGGCCCACATAATGCATCTTATGATTGCTCCTTCAACCACCAATTTTAAATTTTGGAGAGATAACTTATCTACTTGTTGTAGACTAGGGTCTCTAACAGATCCTTTATTAGCACTGTGCACTGGGGCCGATGTTATTAGAATGTATGTTCCGTCTGCCATTCAAGTATGGTAACGTCTGTAGCTGGGAGGTGGAAACACTCACCCAGCTGATAATCCCTGAGACGGCTGAAGGGCGTCATAAAGAATCAGAGTTCTGATCTATTTGCCTTAATGTGGTACAAAAGATGGATAATACTATTTATTAGCTAATTTTCAATTATAATTTTACTTGTTTATTTAAGGAACACAAACAGTATAATTTTATTTAATATTTAACATCCATCTTTTGAGTCCAGTGTAACATAGTTAATACTACTGCCGTGGCCCTGGAAGCCAATAAGTCTATTTTGGGACACCCCTACATAATGAATATAGCCTCTGTGGCCGGGGGTACTAATGGATTCTAACTGGAACAAACAAGTCTCTGTCTGCGACTCCCCATACACTGAGTATGGCCTCCGCGGCCTGGGGTACTAATATATTCTAAATGGAAGCAAACAAGTCTCTGTCTGGGACTCCCCATACACTGAGTATGGCCTCCGCGGCCTGGGGTACTAATAGATTCCACCTGGGTACTACTCGACCCTTTGATGTTACAGGTGGTCTGGGATACCGTGCCTATGGCCCGGTCTGCAATCCCATCTCCTGGTAGATAACAAGCCGACAGCGTCATGTCGAGCTGTTCGGTCAAGTTCATGAGCTTGGTGGTCAATTTGAGGAGGGCCCGTGATCGAGTACCTCCTTCGAAAACAACCCTAGATACGCCAATGTCACAATGTGATCATATTCTGATACTTCAACAAAGTAATCCTGTAATGTGTCCAAAGGAATGAGATCATGGATTCTTCGATCTGAAGCAAGAAGAAGAATGAAAGCTGTTTATCAAGTAAAATTAAATGCTAGAAGAAAGTCCAGCAGCCGGCAACCAGTCAAATTAATTCCAGTAATTTAATATTAAAGACCGGTGATCTCAGTGTACTTGGCCTTGCAATTGAAATGGCCTTAAGGAACTGATGTACAAAAGGTAAAGGTAGATACAACTGACCTAAGTATCAGTTTTGTACTGCAAGTTTTTGCTGTAAAAACAGTTTGGCTAACAGCAGCGCTATCTACAGTAACGGCGTAAAACATCTTTCATCTTCAAATCGGTAACCCAAAAATCCTGGGGGGCACCAGACCAGACCATTCTGGGGTGCCATAGCCCCCGGGGGGGCGGATATATATGGGGGGTACGGACCGCCCCGCGCGCCAAGCCACGCTACGCCGCCACTGGCTACCACATCACTACCAGTTGGTAACTTGTGGTCAATGCTGTGAGATTGACCCACATAATGCATCTTATGATTGCTCCTTCCACCACCAATTTTAAATTTTGGAGAGATAACTTATCTACTTGTTGTAGACTAGGGTCTCTAACAGATCCTTTATTAGCACTGGGGCCGATGTTATTAGAATGTATGTTCCGTCTGCCATTCAAGTATGGTAACGTCTGTAGCTGGGAGGTGAAAACACTCATCCAGCTGATAATCCCAGAGACGGCTGAAGGGCGTCATAAAGAATCAGAGTTCTGATCTATTTGCCTTAATGTGGTACAAAAGATGGATAATACTATTTATTAGCTAATTTTCAATTATAATTTTACTTGTTCATTTAAGGAACACAAACAGTATAATTTTATTTAATATTTAACATCCATCTTTTGAGTCCAGTGTAACATAGTTAATACTACTGCCGTGGCCCTGGAAGCCAATAAGTCTATTTTGGGACACCCCTACATAATGAATATAGCCTCTGTGGCCGGGGGTACTAATGGATTCTAACTGGAACAAACAAGTCTCTGTCTGCGACTCCCCATACACTGAGTATGGCCTCCGCGGCCTGGGGTACTAATATATTCTAAATGGAAGCAAACAAGTCTCTGTCTGGGACTCCCCATACACTGAGTATGGCCTCCGCGGCCTGGGGTACTAATAGATTCCACCTGGGTACTACTCGACCCTTTGATGTTACAGGTGGTCTGGGATACCGTGCCTATGGCCCGGTCTGCAATCCCATCTCCTGGTAGATAACAAGCCGACAGCGTCATGTCGAGCTGTTCGGTCAAGTTCATGAGCTTGGTGGTCAATTTGAGGAGGGCCCGTGATCGAGTACCTCCTTCGTTTCTGACTGTGTCTGTGTCAGAATGTGACCTTCAGGAGCTTGGTGGTCAATTTGAGGAGGGCCCGTGATCGAGTATCTCCTTCGTTTCTGACTGTGTCTGTGTCAGAATGTGACCTTCAGGAGCTTGGTGGTTAATTTGAGGAGGGCCCGTGATCGAGTACCTCCTTCTATCAGGATGTGAACTTCATTCAATCGATCCTGATGACTTAATGCTACATCTCCATCGCATTGGAGTGTCATCATCACTAGTAAAAATATATATGTATTTTTCAAAAGTAAATGCCAACATTACATTTTAGGTGTGCGTTGTAACACTGACCTGTAAAATTTTTGTAAAGTACTGTCTATTTTCCTTTTCTGACCTTTAATCTACTGTTATAATAATATTTTCGAAAAAAAATAATTAGCAACCCTAGTTGAACGCCCCACTACGCATCCGCTGCGTCTGTGGACTTGGAAGTCTGTGACTTCTTTTCGCCGCAACGGCTTTGAACTAAAGTCTATGGCGTCTATACCTCTTAAAATCCTCTCAGAAACAGCTGCATACTATTGTGTATTTAGTTGACATTGACAGTTTATAATATTGTAACTAATTGTGGGTATACAAATAATAAATCAGTTATGCTTTGACTTGAGTTGATGTTGTATCTTTTACATACCATACCTATTGCTTGAAGAGAGACGTCCTCCGGGGACAGTCAATGTTGCAGTTGGCAAATGTATAAATATATTTTTTTTTTTTTTTAAATAAAGTCCCAAGTTTTTGAGCTTGTCTTAGTGCACAAATAAGATCCCAGTCCTTTAAGATATTTAGAGAAAATATTCTGCCATGATGTTTCTGAGAGTATTCCAGGCTTGGGAATTTAGGATATTTGTGTTGGCTCTATTTACTTGCGATTGACATGCAAAAAAATAAGGTTTCTGAAAGTCTCAGTGTGTATGAGACATGAGCGATTAAGACAGATCTGTTCTGATGACCCAATAGAATAAATTATATTTTAAGTATATTATTACTCAAATGCCACTGGCACGAGTAGTTTCCGCAACTCCACTTGACACCGCTGAGAAAAATCTGCAGTGCCGAAGACAAACTAAATGGCAGGGCTTCAGTTGTAAGATTCCTTGGAGGAAAACCTGTGAGTCTCTGCTCTGGCAGATGAAGGTAAGTGTTCTGAGAGTTGACCTTCCTAACCGGTCGTGCATTGTGATCCTGAAGAAGATCTACATACTATTTCAGAAACTAGATAAAAATGTCTTATCGCAACATGAGCATAAAGCCCATCTTTGAAAAGAAACATTGTTTCTATTAACTCCTTATCTTTAATTCTTTTGAGAATTTTAAAGTAGGTATACTCGCATATTGTTTAATTTAAATATGATAGGGTGTTCAACCAGATCTGTGACCCACCCATGACTAGGTTGGGGGAGCCTTCTGTAATGTTGTACGAAGGTTAATATTAGCAATTACCTTAAACAGTGCTCGCGTTCATTAAAAAGATTCCGCTCTTTTTTCCACAAAGAATTGCATTGTGGTTTCAGGGTTCTTGGATTATCAAGCCAGAACCAAACATTACAAAATAAAATTTTTGAAATAAAATAATTAACATCTAAATTTAAGAGGCCTTTTAAGCCCAATCAAAAATAATTTTACTTATTTATGAATAGAATGATAGTAACAATTGCACCATTCAAACAGAATGTTCAACTAGCTGCCTTTAACCCGCTATAAGGTAGCCAAATTGCTGCAATTTATCTCATTAATAATTCGCTCAGTCAGTAGGAAAAGGAAAGGTAATATTCTATCTTCCTTATGATTGATCTTAACTTCACTTTACGATAACGAAGTAACTGAAATCGTTCTTTAGAGGAACTGAATACTACTTTGCAAGCTATTACCATCTAGTAGGCTTGATGTAGAAGGTAAGTGGTGCGCAACAAAGTTGGAAATAACATTCATCTGAGTCGTCAAAGTTTCGACCGAGTGTCTTACGAGTGGGGTTAACACTTACATGGCCTCCGTCGCCTATTTGGAGGTGGTGAAGCAAACATTTCCATTTCCGAGGATGATGAGGATGAATCTGAAAAAGACGACTCGGATTTCGAGCTTTTCCTTCATCCGGGCCGACAGAAGTCAACCTTTCACCGTCACCACTCTTTACCCTTACACTCTGCATCACTTATATTTCCTATTTGCACATTTTAACTGTGTTTTATTCTTATTTTATACTTAAAACAAGATAAAAAATTTTTGCTGTGTAGGCGGCAAAAATCACAAACGCTATGAAATGTCAAGTTGACAGATCACCAATTTCCATAGAAAGTGGTGCCAGCTGGTGTATGAAGAAGGTAAACTAGATGATAAAGCAGAGACAATTGGTAAGTTTTCTTATACCATAGACTAAAATAAGGCAAAGATCATAGACAGCTCTCTCAACAGAACGCTGTGTTTTATTAAGGCACATAATAATATTTTTTCGTAAATTTACGAAAATATCAAATTAGCCCGTAATCCTGAATCCTGATACATAAATTTAGCCTATTAATTTAACACATGTACGACTGTACTCAGTGTTGCACTATCCAATGCGATTGACGCGCCTCTATGCCAGGGTTTTTATGTTCCTGGTCAGGCTATAAATTAAAATAGAAAACCAAAATCCTTTTTCAATTTCAAAATAAAAAAAAAACACCGGAAGTAGCTTTCTTAAGTTGGCAGCATTGCAAATTGCAAGTCTTTTCAATGACATAACAAGTAACGTTACTATTAACGATTCGTTTATATCGAACTATCCTCGTAAACGCAGACACGCACGCCAAACAAAAAAAATATATATGTCACCTGTCAAAACGTTCATGGCGGACCATTGGTTGGGACCCAAACATTGAGCACGTTTGATTTTACATAATTTCGTATTAGTCCACTCCAGAGTCACATGCTATCAGTTGTTGCGTGCTAGACGCAATCATCGCCCCGCAATGTCCACGGTGGAGTCGGACTGCTTCACGATCGGGAGTATAGTGGCCACTAAAACATGTTACAACGAAGAGATTGAAGGCGAAGTGTTGGCTTTCGATCCTCAAACTAAAATGCTGATACTGAAGTGTCCGTCTTCCAGCGGGAACCCGAAACGCCACGACGTGAATATCGTGAACCTGTCTCTGGTAAGCGACGTGCAAATCAAGAAAGAGGTGACTTCGACCCCGGACCCGCCACAATCTCTAAACCTGAACAGGCTTAACACTAGGGTCAGAAATTCAATTGAAAATAAGCGGAGATTAGTAAGTACACTCTATTTTTATCTAATCTTGCCCTATTTTACTTAGTTGTGTATAAAAAATTATGAAATAGTTGCCAATATTGACAATACATACTTTCCCTTGCACATTTAGCATTGTAACAAAAATACCACGAATTTGCTATTCGCATCTAGCCTCATACAGTAAAAATACCACGAAACAGTGATTCATATCTAGTTTCATACCAAATCATAAGTATAGATAACATTTTTGTTGAATAATGCAGTTATCTAAATGTATTTGATATTTACATTTTACATGTTATGTATTATGTAGGTATGTCATCTAACATCAACTTAGTCAGCTTTTTTTAACTTGCTATTGGGATTGATAAAAATTCTAGTTAACTTAAGTAAATCTGTGCATTTACTGTAAAATAAACTCAATAATAACTCTAAACGCTCATTGACATTGGCAAAACCAGTGTGCTTCAAATTCGCACCATTGATGCCATTAGACAGAATAATAATAGCTAATTTGTTAATGACTGTCACATATTGGGACAGCTAAAGTTTGTTATCTCGAATAATAATGCATAAAGTATACAACTATACATTGTGGTGGCTCGCTACTGTTAGTTTTTCTAAAGTTTTGATAGACATTACATTATTGTTATGTCATGAAAACATACACACACAAGTAAAGCTCACTCACCTTTATAAGTTGCAAGAACTATACTTGGTCAAAGAGTAGCATTAGAGTAGGCGCACACTGTTGATTTTTCATCGGCCGATAGTTTAGTCGGGCAGTTGATCAGTATGGGCATGTATGGGAGTGCGCACACTACGCCGATTCGATTTGGCCGATTCTTCATACAAATTAAAATCGGGCACAACTATCAGCCAACTAAAAATCAACGGTGTGCGCCTACTCTTATCCAACTACAAGGAATTTGATTTATTCACTCCAGGTGTCAGCGCTATCAGCATGCTTGGACCCGGAGGGCCAGCGGTTGTTCCTGGCGATCGCGCGGCTCATCGATGACGTCACCTGGGTCGGCCAGAACATCCGGGTGTACAATGAGGTCACCATCACACCCCCTTATAAGGCAAGCGTTCGAACATTCACTTTTTTTACCCAACAGAGAAGCTTCGAATGCATTTCACCTGATGGAAAGGATGACTAGGCCGAAGGTGGAAGCGAGCTTCACCATGAATCCTCAAGGAACTAGCTATAACACTAACACCTCCAACTTCCGGAATGACAACACAATTTTTTCACCTGTCGTTTTGCACTGGAGAGAAGTCGAACCTTAATTTCCAACTCTTCCTATGTTCTTCTCATTAAGTTTGATTAAAACTGCTTCCACATAACTGTTCATTAATCACACAATCATTAGTTTAATTTGTATTTTTTAATTTTAAATAACAAATGACTAATTATCTCGCTAACCCCTCATGGTAAGCTAAATATGCTTGTGTATTGAACACGCGTTCCTAGGATCAGTTTCAGAATTTTTGACAGTGTACTTACAAAATTTCTCTATCATTCACAGGTAGAAAACGTTATAGGCGAGCCGGACTCCAAACCGTATAACTACATAAGGAAATTCGTCGAGAAGCATTGGCGCGAGCCCAGAGACCACGCCGCGGCCAACTCCAGCCAGCATCAGTAGATATCGTTGGGATATGTCTCTGGTAAAGCCACACTCGATCAGAGATGCCTAAAGTCCGGTCGCCGAGCAGATAGTATTTCGTCCAATGACCCCCAAGCTACCCATCCTTATCGCTCGCACGTAATTATATTGCTGTCGCGATTGCGACGGGCAGCCGCAGCGAGTGTGCGAGCGATAAGGATGGGTAGCTTGGGGGTCATTGGACGAAAGTCTATCTGCTCGGCGACCGGATTTTAGTCCGATTTTTATTAGTGCTGGGTTGCTATAATAAATCCTAATCCAAAACCATCCGTCAACTGTCAAATCACTAACCCCCTTATTAGTAAAAAGTTACACCCGGTATGAACACTGGATTAAAATTACATTTCCATATTAAACTAGCGGCCGCCCGCGACTTCGTACGCGTAACTCGTTTTATCCCCTTTAAATTTTTCCTTAATTTTCTTTGCTATAAACCTCACGGAGCCCGAGACCTTTCCAACGAATGCAAAACCGTGGAAATCGGTTCGTGCGTTCTGGAGTTATAGCGTCAGGAAGGAAAACCTGTCTTATTTTTATATAGTAGATGACAATTTAAACCAGAGTTCAACTAGGGTGTAACTTTTATTAATAAGGGGGAATATGTTTTTGGCTAAATTATCTACAGTTTTTGTTTTTACATTTTCATATTGTTTATAAGACTTATACAATTTAAAAGTGTAAACACATTGAAAATGATTTGATTGGTCGAAAACAGATTGTAATTTTACAGTTAAAATACGGATTTCGATTAGGATTGATTATAGCAAGCTGGCTTAAGTCAGTAAATATGAAATTTCTTTTTCTTATTTTGTTTTTGACCAGAAATGGTCCACACAGTAACCTAAAATTACAGAGGTGTACTACTATGTAAGAAAATGGCTGCAAATATAAGTCCTGCTGACTCAATACAAATTGGACTATAAACAGTGACGATTTTCAGATAGTCTTGATATTATCTTGGCAGCAGACTTGGCCAATAATAAACTTGGCAAAGCTAGACTTGGTCGTGACCAAGTATCACTCACTATCAAAAGTAAGTGTCAAAATTCGATTACTATCAGAAAATTGCACAAATTCCTAGTAAATCCGGTGTGGCTTTATGAATAGTCAGTACTAGAATTTACCGACTAGCTTTTGTCCGACTTTCACTGCAAAAAACATCTCAAGTGTGATTATACACATACTAGATTAAAAAGCTAGTTGAAGATACTACTGCTGATATTACAGATATTTAGCTCAACTTAAAGTTTACCTCATATCTATATATTACAGAAAACTTATTACTTTCTCCTACCATTTAGAATTTAAAGTATTCTGAACTCCACTTTTATTTGGTTTTTAAAACTCAAGTATAATCCACCAGAGATATACGGTCGTATTCACAAACGATGCTTGCTTAAGTGACGCAGCAAATTGAACGCACAGCGTTGAATAGAGCTCTGTGATTGGTTCGTGTGTCACCCTGTGCGGCGCACTGTGAGACCTCATAGTAATGTTTGTGAATACGGGCGAAAGTATCAATAGATATTCACCATAAGTCGTCTAAAATACATTACAATACAAAATCTGTTTTTTTAGATAGGCCCATTCCAGGGTTCTTATACACGTCTCAAATATAGCTTGCCCTACCACCACTTCGGGACAACATATGGGCTGGTGTTGAGAGTCACTTTTCTCACCTATTTTTGTTTATTTCATTGTCAGCGTCAAATAGTTCTCAACACAAAAAATTCTCAACACGTCTTTGACCCTCAATGCGCTTTTTCGCGAATGAAAAATCCGCCAGATGGCAATACGTAGACGCGAGGTCCAGATGCTGCATGATTGGTTATTTTTGACATGACATTGACAGATATGTCAAAATCCACCAATCACGCAGCAGTTCAGATCTTTCATTCGCGAAAACCCTCAATAACTTGTTATCAACTTTTTGGCCACTTTGGGTGTCACAAACTATTTGACGCTCACTGTACGAGCTAGACTAATAAAAATCATGCGTTCTTGTCATAATATGAAGTCCGATCTTATATATTTTTAAAAATTACTCCAACAATATGAAACCTGAAATGTATAGATCTTGAGGTAATATATTATATTGTTTTACAATGTAAAGTAACAAAACTAAACACTTTTCCAAATAAAATCAAATATACAAGCATCAACACATAACATACAAAAATTGTATTAAATTCCAATGCCACATGGTTTCGAATCTGTATTCTTTACATTGTGAAATGTATTAAATCCAAATAAATTTAAGAGTGGGTATATTATGGTGAACAATACATTTTGTCTGATATTGAACTACTATTATATCAATACCTATCAGTTTTAATTCGAGTTGCATGGCCTAAAAATGAATAATCAATTTTTTTTTCACACATAATTCAGAAATAAAAGAAAACTAAAATTATTTGTCTTTATTTAAAAGGAATTCACTAACAGACAGAATGTATGTAAAAATAAAAAAAGACAGAAAATTTTGGTTGGTAATCATGTTTTAAAGTTATTTTCACGTTATCAAAAATAACATCCAAAAATATCCATTTTAACTTACATTTCCAAACAAATTCTTTTGTTTATGAATGTCTTGTATGTATGAGAAAATATGTCACAATTTTTTGGTTTAAACAATAGTATAAAGCATATTTTTTTCTTAAACAATGAAATTTTAGACTGGTATATCCAATTGTTTTTGTTTTGTTTATTGGAACTCCAAATTTTATTGTACTGGCAACACTTAGTTTGGTATTGCCATGGTGTATTGGGAAATAATGAAATGAAATTGACTTTTTTAAAATTTTCGAACATATAAATTAAATTAACAGTGAAATACATCGTGGTGATATTTTTATCAAGTGACAAAAATTTGGAGTTTTTTTGTATGTGTAGTGGATAGCATACTATTTATATGATGTTGGATTAAGTAATATAGAAAATTATTAAAAAAACTGCAAAAGTTATGTTTATCTTTTATTTTTCTTCAAATCAAATACTTTATTCAGTACATGGGCCCTTTCCAGGGCGCTTATACACGTCCCAAATAATATAGCTGGCCCTACCACCACTTCGGGACAACACATGATGTGCGTGTGGAGTGACAGAGTGATCTTTTCAAAAAACTCATCCAACCACAACCAAAAGACAATGCCGGAAATTGGCGTCTTTTTTTTTCGCGCGGCCATCGACTAAACCATGTATTGTTTTTTGGTTACAAAATAGTGTAATAAACCAAACTTACTATGACATGTATACCTCTAAACTCAGTCTGAACTGAGTTACGAGCATTACAAGTTTGATGATTTTACATACTAGATTTGCTTTTTGCGCGCAAGTTTTGTAAGAAATTGCAACAAAATAGTGACATTGTACGTGTAAACGAACAATACCATCCAAAGGGCTCCAGCCATCATTGTGGAGCAGAATCAGCGCAATAAAGAAAGACGGCACATATTATACGAGTACATTATTTGAGTAATATGAGTCGTTAAGGGTTTATAGTGCCGTACTGTACTGTGTCCTTGGGAGGTCTTTGGCCAGTGACCAGAAGAAAATTATTCTATAAAAACGTTAAGGCTGAGTTGCACCACCTAACTTTAACAACGATAACCGGTGTGTTTTGTATGGATTTTGACAGATTTCTGACGTTTTTTAAAGTTAAAGTAAGATGGTGCTTGGCAGGGCCAAGGTATTTACTAATCACTTATTAAGAGGTAAGGGTGTTTTAAATAAAAATCAAATGTAAAGCGAACAATATATTATTAATACTACAAGAAACAACTACATACATGATTATTATTCGATTATACAATATAACAATTCTAAAATCTAATACATTTTTTATCGATGGCAATACAGCGACAAGACAAGGAAACTGGCAACATTTTTTTGTACTAAGTTTCAGAATTATTAGTTAATCAAATGGAATGATTTAAACAATAATTAAATAATTTGATTTTAGATTAAACTTAAGTTTTTCGTTTTAAACCTTTTAATTCGAAGCAATAAGGTAAAAAATTGATGAAATCTACACATTGCAGTTATAGTTATAATACTGAATAGTATTTTTTTAACTAGCAACACTAAATTATTTTTTCTACTTTGTCTACACTTGATACGATAAGTATAGCAAGTAACACCTACTTTTAATAGAAATGAAAATCAGTATAAATCATTTAACTTTCCATGAAAATTGTGCGGGTATATTCTAAAAAACAACGAATGTAGAGTTACGTAAAGTAACTGGTATCATTTTTCAGAAACTAGAAATCTTCAGTATGGCGTAAGTTTGAAGTCAAAATAAAATCAAATTGCAATAGCAGCGTTAGATTTCTGTAACACATGCCATTTGACAGGTGTCAAAATAATTTCAATGACAGTTGGTGACAGTCCAGTGACACGTGACGTCACCATTTTGCAATAAACCATTTTATTATGAGTATATTGTGGATTTAGATGGTTGTGAGTGATTTAGTTCACGAGTTTCGTTACGTAGTTGCTTGGGAAGAGGCCGGTCATCCCTCTGAGTTCGCCTGTAACAAATAATAATAATAATAAATTATTAACAATGTACCTAGCATTGTCAAACAACTGCGATTTGAACACAGTATAGGCTATTGTTTAGTCTCCAGTAAATACATAAATAAATTATGTAGGGTACATTATCAAGTAGTTGACGTACTTTCTATGAGCTGTCAAAACGTGATTCTCATATTTTTTGTGTGGCAATACTAGTATACATACAGTGTCACAGTCTTTTATTTTGCCTTAGAAGCGGACATCCCTGTTTTATTAATTNAATAAAATACAGAAGATTAAAAAAAAATTTTTTCGGGCATTATTTTTTTACGGATTTGTGTTCAGTATCAGTAATATAGTAACCTCTGTAAATATGGCAAGAATGCAAAGTAACACCCTGTATTTTGGGGATCTTCAGTAATCCAGTCATACTCTTTTCCCCACTCCGGTTTATTTTATTTGGAGTCTTTTTTTTTAATCGGCGTTAGTGGCGCATTAGAATTTGACGCACTTTCTTTATAACTACCACTTTCCATACCTATTAATATAAGATTTCAACTTTTCAAAAGAAATAACAATATCTAGTTGAAAACGATTCTGCCAATAAATAAAGCAGATCAAAATATCGTTTGACGACCTACGACGTCTACCTACAAGGTGGACCGACGACATCGTAAAGGTAGCAGGGAAGCGCTGGACGCAGGCCGCTACCAATCGATCAACATGGAAAGCATTGGGGGAGGCCTATGTTCAGCAGTGGGCGTCCGATGGCTGAAATGATGAAGTTCGTTACGCAAGCGTTCGGATACACGCTATCGCCTATCGGGTATGTTCACGGACCTCATCAAAGGAAATGGTACGTGCGCAATAGGTTATAAAATATGACTTAGCCATCTTAACAGTTAAAAGTTACTTTAAAGGCGCGTTCTTATTTTTTTTAAATGAAGGATTTGTTTGTTGGATTTGTCGGTGTTGAAAATATAGTATTTTTGCGTACTATATATTTTTTCAACAGTATATAGTACGCAGACCCGAAATATAGTACAATACTATATATTATAGTACGGTTGGCAACCCTACGTAGCATACACAAGGGGTTCCCAAGCGTGGGGTCCGAGCCAAAGCGTTGGGTGCGAGCGCGCGCACCGGTTCTGAAAATTTCAGCCGGGTGGATAAGCACTTTGACGTAGCAGCACTGCTAGTTGACTAGGGTTTAAAGATGTTGAAGACAAATGCAAAAGAAATAAATTATATGAATCCAATGTTACATAGAAAATATAGAAATGTTTTGGGAAATACACGTTATGAGCAAATTAACGGTGAAAATTGCGCAGAAAAAAGCTACACGGATCTTGGATGAAATGATAGGATTGGAACGAGCACTATCCTCGAGTTCAACGCTCCAAACGCCAAGCCTCCGCCGTTTTTCCTCATTTTCTTCTATGCCGCCATTTTGTCCAAGCCTTCCACGTCGAGTCCGTGCATCGCCTCGAATTTCTCCTTTTTGCGGAGCAGTGTTGTTCCTGACAAATTTAGGGTTGCCGTATTCTAATTCTAAAATTGCCGGATTTTTAAGGAAAACTAAGAAAATTGCCGTATTGTATAAAATGTTTATTTGGAAGGTTTTTAAGGTTTAAAAAAATACAAGTGATGTATTACGTACTATGCGTATACTACTTTTAAACTTACTTATTTTATTCTTTACTTTTTAAGGTTTTGAATAATAATTTAGTCCAAGAACCTACCCGAATAAAAGTGAAGAATCTACCAAAATGAGGAAATAACGATTTTAGACATTAAAATATCGGAGATAAGGTTGCATTTTTGGCGTTTCTTTTCGTCGCACTTCTACTTCATCTATGGTTTACAAGTTTTTGCGTTCCATTAGACGAAATATTTATGTTTTGTTTACTAAAACTCATGAAAAACTCATAAAACTCTACTTTACTCAATTGCCGTATATTTTGATACGGTAATCAAAGTGCTGCCGTATACCGTATTTATGGTGCCTAAGATGCCTGAATGCCGTATATTACGGCAATTGCCGTATCAAGAACAACACTGTTGCGGAGTCCTGTCACGGTCGCCAAAAATTGTTCGGGATTCTTATGGATGAAGGAGACACTGTTTCGTGTTTCAAATGGTTTACTACTAAGAATATCTTGTTACAAGGAAATACATTAAAATTGCGTAGTTGCTCTGATGTGAACGATGTAAAAACCAAAGAGATGTGACAGGCGCGCGCGGGGACCCCGCGGGCGCGGGCGGTGGGGCACGCGGCGTAGTGATGTTCTTGTGAACATTAGTATTGCCTGTTATTTAGCATTATTACTGTTTTTATTTTATCAAGATATACCGCTTAGTTTAAAAGTTATTATGTTTTCTTTACAATAAGTAAATGGAAGAAAAAAAATTCTATAAAAAATAAAAAAAAAATCTCAAAAATTTTTTGACCTCTTTTTTGTCGATAAAAATAGGTCTAGTTTAATCTATTTTCATATGTACACTTTAACGTGACTCACACTGTATATTAAAGACTGTAAACCCTTGAAAAAGAGGCTGACAATAGTGACTGAGTTTCTTGCGCTGCTTCTTCTCAGCACTGGCCCATTTATTGTCCCGAAGCAGTGGTAGGGTTAATATTGGGACGAGTGAAAGTGCTTTTTAAAAGCCTATTTGCAAAAATAAATGAATTTTATGAATTTAATTTTATGAATTTTATGAAATAACGTCCACTGTTGGACAAAGTCGTCCTAAAAGCGAGGTTTATTTAGACTAGCAATAAGCGAGTTTATGCCCGTTTTCACCATCAATCCCAAATTTTTAAGTGAGCCCTATTAAAACAAAATGCCTGTTACGTTACCATAGGGGTCACTTAAAAATTAGGGATTCAAATCAAATCATTTATTTGCATGGATTGATGGTGAAAACGGGTATTAGACTAGTCAAAGTGCTTTTTAAAACCTTAAAATAAATGAGTTTTAATAAAACTTCCAGAAGTTGACTTCCGCAAGCTGTCACCACTGTATAAATTTTTGCTAGTCTAAACCTCGCTTTAAAGATTTCCAGTGACCAGTAAGAAGTAAGAGTAGGTAATTTATTTGTCACAAAATCGGATAAGTATTTTGATTTTGCTTCAAAAATGATTATTGAGTAAATAAAAACTGAAAAGATAATTCAAGACCAGTAGCCTAGAAAAGCGTAGTATAGATAGATGTCCAACAATGAACCGTCCCAGCTGTGACGTAAAGAGGGCGCTACTATAAATAATGGATTTGGGTTATTATTACTTTTTTATTTTTGCCGATATAATTTGACTTTTACGTTATAAATGATCTGTCAAACGCGCTTTTCCCATAGATTTTGAATGGCATGCTTTGTGACGTCATAAAACATTTTTCTTAATTTCTTTACCTTATCTATGACCGTCTCCGCTGGAAGCGTGTCCATCTTGGATAGAACTGGCGTGGTTCTACCGGACGTGCGTCCTGAGGATTGGAGAATCTGTAAATAATAATGTTTGTTTAATATCTAAATACATAAAAGGAGAAACTGTGACATATCAACGCACAGCCTAAACGGCTAAACGTAGGCACTTGAAATTTGGAAGGGACGTAGCTTAGGTACCGTAGAGGTGCACTAAGAAAGTAATTCCCTGAATTCCCACGGGAACGGTAATTAGCTAGAAAATCCTCTTGTATGAAAAATCTAAACCGCTTAAGTTGGACGCTTGAAATTTGGCATGCAGGTACCTTAGTAAACTTAAAGCTTAGTTACAACAGGATATTGCAAAATTCCCACGGGAACGGGAGTTAGCGGGAAAAAACATTTGTATGAAATAATCTAAACCGCGTAAGATGGATGAACGGGATCCACGCGTAGGAGATCCGTAAACGAACTAAAGTCGCTGACATAGCCCGACGGATTAGCAAGCTGAAGTGGCAATGGGCAGGGCACATAGTACGCGGAACTGACGGCCGATGGGGCAGCAAGGTTCTGGAATGGAGGAAAACGCAGCGTGGGACGTCCACCCACAAGGAGGACCCACGACCTCATAAAGGTAGCAGGAAAGCGCTGGATGCAGGCCGCTACCAACCGTGCGATGTGGAAGTCATTGGGGGAGGCCTATGTTCAGCAGTGGACATCGATGAGTACTTAAATGACACCCTATGGCATTAGTAGGTGGCGACAACCTGAGAGAGACAATGACATAAGCAATAGTACAGTCGGAGAATGAAAAGGTTCGTCACCTTAGTGTCGGTTTTCGCTTGCACTAGGTACTGTAAGAGTCAAACCTGCCAACATAACCGTGCAAGAAACAGTGCTGCTAACATTTACTTAAATAAATATGACGTTTGCTAACGAATAAGGTTTTGCTTGTTTATTTTTCTATCCCATCAGTGCAATGCAATGATGACATTGATCAATTGACAATAGTTTTTTTTATAGAGCGTTGTAGCAAAAAGTTGGCGTTCGAATTTTAGGTTTTTATTGCTCGACGTCGCGTAGTGAGTGCGCAAACTGCATTTATCTTTACAATTTCAACGCTGCGTCGACTAAACGATCTTAATCCGTAGTTGTATCGTACCCATGAAGCTACAGATAAAAATGGAGGGCAAAGTTGGGAACAAAACTTGAGTCAAATACCTACTTATCTCTATCTCGCTCTCTGTGGGCCGACCTCTCTTTTTAGTGTGAACTGTAGTATTGCTATCTTCTTATTTAAATCTCCTTGTAAATTCTTCGAAATAGCCAATTCACTAACCAAATAAGAAGTTAAATAAATAAATTATTAATATTTGAAACTTAGATTACCTAGTTAAATAAAAAATCACAAAATTGTCGGCCATTTAGGCTTAATGTGTTGGCGAATCAGGGAATTACAATCCCAATTTCTGAGGTATCGGTAATGTGGCAACATCGGCCGAATCCGGCCCATCATGGCGGTTGTTTACTATGCAGTTGATTTCGTTTGAGATTTTTCAAGGGACGTTATCATTGTTTTGTCTGAAGAAATGGTGCAAAATTGTATAGTGCGTGGTTGCGGTAGTTCGTGTTATCCTGGAAGTGATATAAAATTCCACGCGTAAGTGTTTATTTCGTGATTTCTGACAGTGGATCATTGTTAACATATTTCTTTGTATTTTCACAGTAATTACTTCCTAAAACGTTTTACCAGTATTTAAACTTATTATTAAATGTTACATATGTCAAGAAAAAGAAGATTTTACATTGAGTTTCATTGACTTTGAGCAAATTTAAAATTTTTGTTTCTATAAGACATTTTGAAGTAGTATGACCATATTGAGGATATATCTGGGACTTTCTGTGGGACCTTACTTATCTAATTTTGCATAATGTTTTCTACGGCCGTTTACTGTAATCAATCCATATCCAAATCCGTCTGTCAACTGCCAAATTAAAATCTGTTTTCTATCAAATATCCACAGTTTTCGATGCCTTTACACTTTCTTAATGTTGTAATTCATCTTAAAACAAAAACATCGAAAACCTTTTTTCATAATCATATTAAGTGCACTTTATCAAGACACACTGTTTAAACGTAAATCAGTCGTTGTCGTCCTGAGAAAAATAAATAAAAGGTTACCCTACTTAGAAAGAGAGAGCCTGCCCACAGAGAGCGAGATAGTGATACATAGGTTGTGCTTCAAGTAGGTATTCTAAGTCTGGCCTCCATTTTTATCTTTAGCTTCATGATCGTACCTAAGACAGTACGTCATACATAATAATACAGAAATAATGTATAATTTACCTATTTGATTTTTTCTCAGATCAGACTTTTAGCAAAATCAAGTTACGTAATTAATGTATTTTTTACACAAGTAAATCCCGCGACAAGTTTTTAATCTTTAAATTGAGTAAAGTAATAAGTTGATGGGTTTGAAAGAATTTATGTTTTATTTTATTATTTTTAGAGCATCAAAAGCTTGTTTATGAAAAATATTTACTATTTAAATTTTACTTTTGACTTTTTTAGTTTTTATAATGCGGGATGCAAAAATTAAAATGTATTCTGATTTTGTGACGTTTCCATATAAATATACCTAATGAAATGTATGAAAACGAGCGTGCCATTTTTTAAACGTTAATTATAATATCTGTGTCCATCAGAGAGCTCGTAACTAAACATCGTAAGCGCCATTCACATTATTATCAAAAAGTTAATAATAAATATTTAGTTTTTGTAAGTCTAAACAAGTCAGTAAATCAAAGAGGTAAATACTGATATCATTGTGATTTTATAGAATTTATTATTATAAAACACGGTCGTATAATGCTTTTATAAAAAAAAATCAGAGGTAACTTTAAGATTTTTATCCATAGAGTAAAATTTATCTAATCGTGTTTTTAAACAGTTATTCCATTAGGTACACATACGTTCTGTAATACAAACCCATCAAAAACAATACTTGTCAAAAAACCAAGTCTCGCTACTCAGTTGTTCTACGGTAAAAAGTTGTTAGATCCATGTAATACCAAGTCCTGTCCAGGAAATCTTTAAAGTTTTACATAAATATATTGACTTGGCCATCGCATGAAAACACGTGTAAATTAAATTATTTAGTGCGAAACGAAACGAAATTTTGCATGCCTGTGTAGGCAAGTAAAATTTCAGCTCAATGGGAAAACGGGAAGTAAGTAGATTTTACGACTCCAGATGTCAAATATATTAAAAGCTTGTAGATAGCTTTACGAAGAAAAGAAAGATTTACAAAGAAAATAAAAAGTACTGTCCACGATACATTTGTTAGGCCGTGTTGCACCGTCTTACTTTAAAATTGACATCAAAATTTTTGATGTCAAAAATCTGTCTAATATACGGTGCATCTCAGCCTTACGCCCGATTCCCATATTCAATCCTTGTCCAAATCCGGATTACAACTGTCAAGTTGAATTCAGTTTTAGATTATATTTCCAAAATTATCGATGCATTTACACTTTAATATTGTTTAAATAGTCTTATAAACAATATAAAAATGTAAAAACATCAAAAACCGCAGTTATTTTGGCCAAAAACATATTAAAATTTGACAGTTGATAATCCAAATCCGTATAATTTGGATTAGGATTGAATATAGAAATCCAGCATTAGTGTACTTTATTTAAATTTTATACAAATAAGGATGACGAAAATAATCGATAAGTGATCTCACTCGAATATTTCTTATAGTAGGTATACAAGATGTCGAACAAATGGTTACTTACTGAAAAAGTGCTTCACGAGACCTGGCAAACGGCATCAATAATATGTTTAAAAGAACGAACTGAATCTATTCAAAAAATCTATATTTCCAGCTTTCATACATTTAATACAGTTACAAACAAACACGAAATCAATGGTTTCCGAGAATTCTGAGTGCCTTAATGCCGTCCCCTTTATCTGTTTATTAAGTATTTATTAATTAGTATCTCTTGATGATATTGTAGCAAGTAAAACCTAAAATCATGTTTTCCGTAAATAATTTAAGTAAGAATGCAATTTACGAGTTTGTTGTTTGATTACATTATTCAATTAAAAATTTAAATTAAAAAATTTAACACTTCTAATTTGGTAGGTATGGCTGGCGGCATACATTTAATATGAAATTCGGAAACATTGAATTTTCGCATAGATCCAGTTTATTCTTTAACCTATTTATTGTTATTGTTTTAAAGAGCTCGTGGAGCACTCACAGGAACAGTAAACAGTTTTTCGATATCTTGTATAATTAAGAATCAAGTGAAATCACTTATCGTTTCCACCCTGTACCTATACTGCTAAAAATAAACTCATTTTATATATTCATTTGTATAAGTATCTACAATACAAATACCTAACCAACTTAGTTGACGTTTTATAAAACTATTTGTCTAAGTGTCATCGAGTGACCGCTGGTGGATTTGCCATTTACCTCACCTACCCCTTTATTACTAAACGTTTAATATCAGATGAATAGTTACGCACCAATTTCTTTCATTCAGTCGTCAGTAATTGGACTTTCGGAAAAACATGACGAAGCGTTGTGTGACCATACAGAGGCTATTCAACTTTTATTAGTAAGGAAGAGTATATTTTATGTTGGTAGAAGAAACTCAATAGCATAAAGTAATGTTTTGACACCCTGTTAAAGTCGTTTATTACTCATTTATTTTTTCCTGACCAAACAGATACCATAATAATATCTTTTGTCTATTCTACATATATTTTGTAAGTAAAATAGTAAAAAGTTTGAAAAGAAAGAAATTACAAGTCCGATTTACCTAAACAAATAAATTAAAAATACTTGCGGATCAAAAGTACTCAATCATACTACAATTTACGAAAAAATCACGCGTGACGCATATACGTCAGTGGGCAGTCAACTGACATAGACCCGGCGTCTACGAGTGCCAAAGCACGACTGACTTATGCCATTTGATGCACCCGATTTTATAGGATTTTCAAATAAATTTTTCATTTGAAGATTGAAGNAAACACTGTGAGTGTGAGTCTGGATAAAACGTTCGAATAATCTTTAGTACTACGCAAGCTATGTATAGTTCCAAAATACTGAACTGTCCTATGCATGACATTGACAGTGGGACGCCACCGTCAATACCGGATCGCTGGTTCCGATTTTTGCCATGTTGGAAACCGTATAGTTGTACGATGGTGGCGCCCCCCTGTCATTGAGTATGGTGAGACAGTTCAGCGTGGGTCATCTATAAACTGTTTGACATATATGATGTCACTGCTGTCATCATTGCTGGCGCGAGCAATGTGTTCTGTTTTTGGGCATATTGCTGCGACACCGGCCACGCCCCCTTTTCACATCTCCCTTTAGTTTCTGTGATCTGTGATTGCATACCTTGCCACCAAGCGGGGTCCTGGCTTCGATCCGTGACTGCTATGATGTCGTCTTTCTCGAAGCTCAGTTCATCTGCGTTTTGAGCTGTATACGGGTACAGAGCGATCACCTGAAATTAATAGTAAGTAAGTTAGACATCGTTATTACAGCCAAATGACTATAATTTGTATACAGTGTGAGTCACGTTAAAGTGTACATATGAAAATAGATTAAACTAGACCTATTTTTATCGACAAAAAAGAGGTCAAATTTTTTTTTAGATTTTTTTAAAATTTTTTATAGATTTTTTTTCTTCCAATTACTTATTGTAAAGAAAACGTAATAACTTTTAAACTAAGCGGTATATCCTGATAAAATAAAAACAGTAATAATGCCAAATAACAGGCAATACTAAAAAAATACATAAAATATACAAAAAATGCCAACAAATAATAAAAAATGATACTTTTTGAAAAAAATCTGCTTAAAAATTCGTGGTTTTTTGGTTATTTGATAAATTTCAAAAAATGCCCCTATAACTGGTGGTTTTTATTACTTTGTATTATTCTCTATCGTATTATCTTTGTAAAACCAAAAATCGCATGTCTCTATCCCTATCACAACATTTGCTATGATCGTTTGAACAAAGGCCTGCCACAACATTATTCTCCGCTACAGGTAGAGACAATTTTAATTTTAACTAAAATGCTTATTTTACTTCGAAATCTTTTGTTTTTATTTGAAATCTAACTTGTCTTTATCAAAATTACAAATCTAGAGCCATTTTTAGTTTTGTTGTTAACGAAGCGTTGAATGGCGCGCCCGGAGAGGCTTAGTTCAAACGATCATTGCAAACGTTGTGATAGGAATAGAGACATGCGATTTTTGGTTTTACGAAGGTAATACGATAGAGAATAATACAAAGTAATAAAAACTACCGGTTATAGGGGCATTTTTTGGAGAAATTTATCAAATAACCAAAAAAACACGAATTTTTAAGCGGATTTTTTTCAAAAAGTATATTTTTTTATTATTTGTTGGCCTTCTTTGTGTATTTTATGTATTTTTTTAGTTGTTCGGGATTCTTATGGATGAAGGAGACACTGTTTCGTGTTTCAAATGGTTTACTACTAAGAATA